GATGTGATTTGTAAGTAACGCACGATGACATCGTGATAGACACAGCTAATCTTTTTAGACACAGTTGCCTAAATTATCAAATCACCCTTCATTGTTACCTAATTTTTTTACACATGCCATTCGAAACTTGGCTTTGCTTAGCGAGAAGATCACATCCAAAGAAAAGTCATGACTGTAAAGCTACAATAACAATCATCATTAACTATAGTAAAGTGGAAAAAATTGGTTGCTGATTTAATCGACCAGAAAATCTCTCTGATATTTGATTACAAAGCAGATAACATCAGAGCAATGCCTCCGAGCATCTCTCTGGCTGATCTGTATATTGGAACCTAAACACGATTGAAGATTATTATTTTTTGTTTAAACTGTGACCATTGCCTCACGACCGGCCAGTGGTTTTATAGTCGTAGCTGCAACCACGGTGATTTGAGTAACGGTGCTAGGCGCATTAAAGGTCACAGCATCGGTACCTGAACCCGGAAAACACAACCTTCTTCCGGCAACCGGAACACTTGTTCACTGTCTGTTGATTTATCTTAACTGGGTCGATCTCCCTGGGACGACTCATGGCTTTGGCTAGTGTAGATCAAAGATTGATGGATCTCGACGTTCTTTTCAACATCGAACCAGAGTCTACACCAAAATATGAGAGAGTAGCTTGTCATCCTAATCTGTAAAAAAATTTGTATCAATATGAATAATGAATTTTACAGGGGGAAAATCATCTATTTATAGCTGTAGATTCAGGAAACTGAAGATAATAGAGAATCTATTTAGTAATTCGTGTTAAGGTTGGGAGATGAAGGAAACTAAAACGGATCAGCAAAAAATAACTAAAAGAAGAAGAAATGAGATTATTCAGAGCTTGAGGAGAACGATGAACCCTAATTTCGGCTTCGAACTGAGAAGAGGTAAATGAAAGGGCCTGGCTGTTGGACTCGGGAGTTACTGTGTTTAAGTGCAAGCCCACATAATGTGAACTTTGGACATAAAGTAAAACGCACCGTATGGACATGTGCCACTCCCTCCTTCTCCTATTTAATTAATGACGTGGCAGAGGCAGGAGGGAGCAAACTATACTTTTATATATTAGATGTATAAGTGTAAGACAAACAAATATTTCGCCCAACTAATATATCTATTTACTCTATAACCACTTTTAATTTGAATATCACCTCCACGAAAATATGTAGGAACCGCAAACTCTTACAATATTATTGTTTTTTTTTGTAAAAGAGCAACTCTTACAATATTATTATTTTATTTTATTTTTTGTAAAAAAAACAACTCTTACAATATTATTGCTATTTTTAATGAAAATATATAATATAGTTACTATAAATAATAGAATACGAAGAGTTTGTTATGATTTGCTAATAACTAGATTTTGATCCGCGCTTGAGAAGCGCGGGTTTTGTTTCGGTTGTAATAAAATGTATAAAATGATTCCATTTCTATTATATGATAGTTTTATATACGAAATTTGATGTATATTTAACGTTTTAGTAGGGTTTTTTCATTGAGTTTTGCATAACCGGGTCAGTTTATGGTTGAACAGAGAATCAGAAAATTAAGTATTGTGAGAGTTTGAAGAATTAAAACACATATTATATTGAAACCAAAATTGCATGAGTCCATGACCTATAATTAACTTGAAAAATCAATACTATTAAAAATACCCAAAATTGTATTACAAATTTGTAGTTAAATCCAATAAATATGTTAATCGAATTATATAGTTTATTTATGTTTCGGTAATCATTTTTTCACAAAATAATATATAAGGTAAACATCACAAAACTATCGTTTATCAAAGAAAAATTCTTGGGTTCATCTATTAATAGAGATGGCAATTGGGCTCTCCCGTCCCGTCCCGTTCCGAACCGCTGCGGGTTCGTCTTCTAGAGGGATGCAGCGGGCCTGTCCCGCGTGGGATGTGGTCTTGAAAACAGCGGCCCAATCCCGCAGTTCTTGTAGGCCTTTGCGGGCCATCCCACGGGACATGTGAAATATGTGCAGCTGAACGATTCTGACCTCTCCGAAACGCTTTAGGCCATTTTAGGACATAGTTCAAGTCGTCGATTCAACTGAACATAATTCATCAAATCATTGATTTGCTTTTTTTTTTATTCAAAACAATAATTGTAATTATTTGTATCACATCCAAAACATATTAACATACGTACAAAGTAAAAATAATTGCAGAAAATATTTTTCATTATCTTATAACTCATAAGTTCATAACCAATGTTTTAGTTTGCTGAGTCTAAAAATAAAATAAAATGAAACACAGAATCAAAAATCTCAATCCCAAATTAAATAAAAAAGTAACAAATCAAAACACTAGCAAAGCTCGAATCATCATTACCGAAGCTCAAATCATCATCATCGCTCGAGCTCACTATATTTTCTCAAGGGAAGTCACATGAATCGTTTTCTTCTCACTCATTCTCTCGTTTTTTCCAGGTAAAACAAAAAATAAATAAATAAATACGGGTCCTTGTAATCTCGCGGGACCCGTTTCGGCCCATCCTGCAAAAGACCCAATCCCGCAAAGACCCATCCTGCAAGGCCCGCAAATTTGCGGGCCTAGAAAACCTCGTCCCAATACCGTCCCGCAACAGTTCTTTACGGGCTAGGCCCGCGGTCTAGATCCATAATTGCCATCTCTATCTATTAAGGTGAATCATAGAGGTTTACCAACCAATAAAATTTCATTGTTTTATATTCAGTATTTTTTTTAAAAAAAATAAAATATTATCGAATTATATTATGTTTTGAAAATTAAAAGATAAAAAATAAATTAAAAATAATAGTAGTTACAAATAAAAAACATTTAAAAAAAAATTTATTACCACCAGCAAAACCCTAAATCCTAAACCCTAAACCATTGGATAAATCTTCAATCCATGGATTAATCTTAAACCTTAGGATTTATGATTAATCCAAGGGTTTAGAGTTTACCTAGGGGTTTAGGGTTGAAGATTTAGGGTTTAGTGTTTTGCTGTTAGTATCAAATTTTTTTTTTACAAAATCAAAGATTTATCTAAGGGTTTAGGGTTAATCCAAGAGTTTAGGGTTTATCCAAGAATTTAGAGTTTAGGATTTAGAGCTTAGTGTTTTGCTGACGGTGTTAAAAATATATTTTTTTAAAAACAATTGTTTACAAATACTCTTATTTTTTATTTATTTATTTATTTTAAAAACATAATATAACGCAATAATATTTTATTTTTTTATTAAAGATATTTAATATAATATAAAGAAATTCTATTGGTTGATGAACCCAAGAATCTCTATAATATTATTTGAGAAGTCAGTTTCCTATGTGTCGCTCTCACGTTCACTCTCACGATGGTTGATTACATTGATACCCTTAATGAATTAAAAATAATTAAAATAATATTATTAATTCTTTTATTTAGTTTCCTTTTCAAAAATTTCCAAAAATATATATAATAAAAAGGAAATTTTTTATAAAGTCATAAAAACAAATTGAAAAGGAAAAATATATGTATATATAATATGATTTCATAAAAAAAGGAAAGTTCACAAAATATTAATAATACATTTAAAAATGTCATAAAAACAAATTGAAAACGAAAAATATATGTATATATAATATGATTTCATAAAAAAGGAAAGTTCACAAGATAGTAATAATACATTAAAAATATTTTTAAATAACATAAAATATACTTTTAGAGTAATAAAAATATTTTATAATTAGTATTATTGAATTTTTTATTTATTTTTCATATATTTAGTTGATTATAATATCTTTCAACTACAGAAAATTATCTATAAATTATATTTTACTTATATAATCTTATTTTCAAATACAATCTAATTTTATGTAGTGCTTATTTTTAAGAGATATTAAAAATAAAAAATAAATTTAACAATAAACATCGCTTGATCAAATAGTTTTATCATTATTAAAATTATATTTTTCTTAATATTAAATTTTATTTTAAATTTTAAATTTTTATGTTTGTGAAACTAAATATAACCATAATCAAAATACCAAAGTAAATCTGAATTTCCAATTTTAAGATTATTTAAAATAAATTTCAGTTTACATTCAATAAATCTAAAGCATAAAGTTAGAGTTTATAAATATTTTAATTATTGTAAATATTGATATGTGTTTATGAGGTTCCAAAAATATATCAACTACTTATGCATGTAGCCTTTTATTGATCATAGAATAACACAAAACATATTAATAAATGAAAATAATATTAACCAACTCTTACAATTTTAGTTCTTTTGTAAAATTTATATATATGCATGAGACTTTAGAATATTATCTTTATATTAATTTACGTATTTTGGAATCAGACACTTTAGTTAATATTTAATTCATTCTAAGCACAATATATCTTAAGTTATACATAATTTTACTAAAATATATTTACATATCTAAGACAACACCCACTATATGCAAATATGTAATTAATAAAAAATTAATATATTTTAAAATATTACAGGTGAATTCAGAGATGCAACCCAATTTATCCAAATGATAACTAAATCAACCGTAAAAACAACAAAATCGACTAGATATAACATATATAAAATTAAAGTATAATTAAAGTAATATAATATTATTAATATAAATGATACATACAAATTATAAATTAATTGAAAATTAAACTAAATAGTAATCAATTATTATTATATATTTACTTTAAAAATATTTATATCCGTGCATGAGCACGGGAAAATCACCTAGTTACTCTTTATCAAACAAACTAAATTATTCTAACTTTTAAGCCTATATCTATCTTGAAATACTAATAAAAATTTAAACTCAAATATACAGTTAGAAACATTATTTTTAGATAAAAACTTCTTACCAAATTATTTTTCTTCATTTTGTATACTTACAATTTTTTAATTAATGAATTATTTTATTTTATCTAAGATTTTTAAAGTAAAATAAAATACATAACTTTAGTTTCAACAATAGCTCTCTCCCATCACTGTCTTCTTTGGTAACCTATTTCTGGTTACTCCCAAGAGGACGGACGATTAAAAGACAGAGAAGTCAGTTTAAGCTTGCCCATATCTTCGGTTGACATGATATCGTATCGTGAGTGCTGCTGCATCTAAATTCTAAACTGTAACAAAAGGTACAACATCTCGAATTCTGATTATAATCCTTGAGAAATTGGGTTTCTGTCAAAACTAGTTTTTTTGGTCATAAAGTTTGTTCTTTTCTTCTTCAGATTACTACTGGGTTCTGAAAACCAGTCCCTGTTTATGTGGGTTTCAAGCTCGATAATCAAGTCTTGTGGGTTAAATCAAACTAAGGCATTTCGTTATATCTGGTCTAGGACCTTTCTCTTTCCTCCTCTGCCTCTTTATAACCCAAGACTTCAGAGCACTTCTGCTAATAAAACCCACTTTGCATCACGACATTATGCTTCAAACACTGGAGTTTGTTCCAGTAAGCCTTTTGGTGAACACTCTCTGAACCACATTGAAGTCTCAGATACTTGTGTTGAAACTATCAGGAACGTGCTTATAAAGCACAATTGGATACATAGATTTGAGAGTGAGTTTAGTATCGACCTTGATGAATACAAAGTCATTAGGATATTGGATGATCTATTTGCAGAAACTTCAGATGCTTCTCTTGCTCTTTACTTCTTCAGGTGGTCAGAGTTTTGGATTGGCGCTGAGCCTTCTACCAGGTCTATCTGCCGTATGGTTCATATTTTGGTATCTGGAAACATGAATTTTAGAGCTGTTGACATGCTTCTCCATCTGGTGAAGAGATCCGATGGAGAAGAGAGATCACTAAGTTTAGTCATGAATGATCTTTTCGAAACTCGCGGTGATCGTAAGGTTTTAGAAACTGTGTTTAGCATGCTTGTTGATTGCTGTGTTAAAGAGAGGGAAGTAGACTTGGCCATCAAACTAGCTTACAAGATGGATCAGATTGGTATCTTTCCTTCAAGATGGGTTTGTATTTCCTTGCTCAAGGAGATTCTACGGATTCACGGTTTTGAGTTAGCTAGGGAATTTGTTGAACACATGATTAGTAGAGGAAGACATCTTAATGCCGCTGTGATTAGCTTATTCATCAGTAAACACTGCTCTGATGGTAGTTTTGATAAAGCCTGGGAACTGCTTATGGGGATGAAACAACAGTATGGAATCAAACCAGACATTGTGGCATTTACCATTTTCATTGATAGACTATCTAAGGCAGGGTTTCTAAAAGAAACGACTTCAGTTTTGTTTAATCTCAAACTCTTTGGTATCTCTCAGGATTCTGTATCAGTGAGTTGTGTTATAGATGGGTTCTGTAAGGCAGGGAAGCCAGAGGAAGCAGTTAAGCTCATTCATTATTTTCGTCTTAGACCAAACATTTTTGTGTACAGTAGCTTTCTGGGAAAAATATGTACTGAGGGAGACATGCTTAAAGCTTCGACAGTGTTTCAGGAGATGTTTGAGTTGGGGCTCCCTCCTGATTGTGTTTGTTATACTACTATGATAGGTGGATACTGTAAATTAGGCAAAATAGATGAAGCTTTCCAGTATTTTGGAGCTATGTTGAAAAGCGGGAACTCGCCGTCTTTAACTACGTATACACTGCTTATTGGTGCTTGCAGCAAGTTTGGAAATGTAGGTGATGCTGAAGCTTTGTTTCGGAATATGAAAGTGGAAGGTTTGGTGCCAGATGTTGTTACATATAACAATCTAATGAATGGATATGGGAAAACCCATCAGCTGAATAAAGTTTTTGAGGTTATGGATGGAATGAGATGTGCTGGTGTCTCTCCAGATGTTGCAACGTACAATATCTTGATACATAGCATGGTCGTTAGAGGATATGTTGATGAAGCAAATGGTATTGTCAATGAGCTTATGAGACGGGGTTTTGTTCCAAGTGTGTTGGCATTCACTGATGTGATTGGTGGGTTTTCGAAGAAGGGGGATTTTCAGGAAGCGTTTCTTCTGTGGCATTACATGGCTGATCTTAGAGTGCAACCTGATGTTGTAACGTGCAATGCGTTGCTACATGGGTATTGCAGAGCGCAGAGGATGAGTGATGCTATGGTTTTGTTTAATAAGTTGATTGATGCCGGGTTAAAGCCTGATGTGGTTTTGTATAATACTCTTATACATGGATATTGCAGTGTAGGAGATGTTGAGAAAGCATGTGAGTTGATTGGTATGATGGTTCAGAGAGGAATGGTTCCAAATGAGAGTACCTATGTAGCACTTGTTGTGGGGTTTGAAGGAAAGAGTGTTGTGAACTCAGAGAAGCATGCATCCATGTTACTTGAAGAAATTTTTGTTGCAAATAGTTCCAAGTAACATTTTTTTTTTTTTGTGATTTACCTGAAGTAACATTGTTTTTTCCAGTGATAACAATTGAAATTCACTAATGGATTGTTGCACTTTCAAATATACAATGATATCACACTAAGACATTACAAAAAGAATGGATAAAAATAACAAAACAAAAAGAAAATGCAGAGATAAATAAAAAATAAACCTGAAAAATTCATGGAAACTGTCCTAAAGGACTGGAGATTTATCTATCCATTATCAATGCAATGAAAAATGAGATCAGCCGGAAGAAGACGAAGATGAAGGTGGGATGGCGTCAGAAGTAATGTTTGACTGATCTTGCTGGTTTCTATCAAGGTCAAACAATGGCTTTAACCTCCTTTCAACCTCGCTGCACTGTAGATCCATCTCATGTACAACCATTGAGTAAGCAGAGTGACAAAACTCATCGCTCCTAAATGCTACTGTCCATTTTCCATCTACTAGACCTTTGGCCTTGAGCTTCTTATAGACTCCTCGCTTTATTGGATCCAAGAACGGTAACGTCAGTGGTCGGATTCTCAAGTGNGCTTTAACCTCCTTTCAACCTCGCTGCACTGTAGATCCATCTCATGTACAACCATTGAGTAAGCAGAGTGACAAAACTCATCGCTCCTAAATGCTACTGTCCATTTTCCATCTACTAGACCTTTGGCCTTGAGCTTCTTATAGACTCCTCGCTTTATTGGATCCAAGAACGGTAACGTCAGTGGTCGGATTCTCAAGTGTAGCCATCTCGGTTGCTTTTCATCTATTCGGGGCTGTAAAACCAAATAAAAGATAGATCTACTAAATGTTCAATATCATAGTTATCTCAGTCCATGAGTGTGATCTTTATAAACGATGAAGGTGAGCACATACGTTGCAGCCGGCTAAAGGTGCAATAATACGGACGATTCCGTGATCTGGCTTCAAAAGTGATTTTTCAGCAAGGACAATCCACCCAGACACACCAGATGATAATGCTAGAAACGACAATTCCCGTTCCTTGCCTCTTTCAAAGGCAATCCAACATGGTACAGCATCAACTGCACCGGGAAAGTTCATAGATTACTTAACTAAGGTAGACGTATTACTAACGCAAGCACAAGAGAGTCATTTGCTAACCTAGCTTCACTTCGGTGCCAGGTTTGGGGACTGAAACATCCAAACCAGAAGTTGTGACACGAGACGTTTCAGATCTGTCGGCAGGAGGATGGATAGGAGGCTGCTCTGGCAAGGGCCGACCAAGCAAGAAGATCTGGAGTTGATGAAGAAGCACAAAAACCTAAGGAGTAAAGGCTCGGTTATCAGATAACTGTAGCATATACATTAACTACAAAGATATAAAAATAAAGAGAAGAAGAGAGAACACAATGGGCGAACCTTTACCACCTCGCACAATTTTTCACCTGCTGTGAATGATGAATCGCTAACAGTGTTATCTGTAAGAAATAGTTGTTAATCACATGTATCATCAGCTAGCCGAACAAAATGTAAAACAAGATTCTACCATTAGAAGAGTATCTATCCAGCTGGAGAATAACAGATATAGGGTCTTTTTGAGGAGATGGAGCTTCGATCACTGTAAGAAGAGATTTGGTATTAGATTCATTGAGTATGCTCTCACAATCAAAGTCCAACATAGGCAGCGCTTTGCTTATTTACTTGCCTTTTTTGCACTTTTTCCACTCATCAAACAGTACTTTGATGAGTAGATCAGGCCAGGAACCTTTGATTTCCCGGATTAGTGCATCTTTGCATTTCTCATATGAATCCTGATATCAGCAGGAAACTGGTTAATGGTCAGGAGGGAGAAAGAGAGCCAACATTTTGAAAGAAACATACATTCAGCATCTTCAGGTGTTTATGATTAAATTCTGCCTGGCTATAAGGAAGCAATTGGCGTAAAAGCCATCCTCCACACCATAATGTTTCTGCAGATATGTTTTCACGGCATAGAAGACTGACCAATGCATTCACAACCTACACCACATATTTTATTACTTCAAGACAAGAAATTTTGAACCCAGCTTTAGCTGGTTGATTGTAGAAGAACGCAAGCTAAAAACTAGGATTTACAAACAATTCATAATTTACCTGATGTCTATGTACAAGGGGGCACACTGCAGCCCCACGCAATGAACAGCATACTCCAAACTGCTCCTGTTGAAGTTACTTGAATGAATAAGTCAATCACAAAGATGTGAAGAACTTTAAAGTGATGCAGAGAAGTACCTCCAGCCTCCGTAGACACCAATCAAGTTCACTACTTCCATCTCTCATAGAACCATTTCGCGGTGAAAATAGTTGTTCTTCATCGGAGTCCTCCCCAACCAAAGATTGCTATCAAAGATCATTACCACTTAAGTTTTGAATAAGAAAAGAAAAGCACATTTTTGGTCCATGCTATAGTAGATGGTCCAGTAAAAAAATATTCGTAACAGGATCCATGCAGATGCGATTTTTCTTGGCAATCAACAGGAAAATATATTAAGCACAAGACAAGTGATAGTGACAGAAACTCACCAGCAAAAGTTTTTTGTGCTGCTTACGCTGAGGGAGAATGCCGAAAGCATCTAGCATTGACTCTTCAAGTTCTATTAAAAGAGAATGTAAAACATCAAAACCGTAAAAGGCGAGAAAAATATGCACAACGTCACTGCCAATACCTTTAGTCTGCAACAAAGTGGCTAGCACAAACAAGGAACCCTGAGCTTGCACATCATCTCCCTCAGATATATATTGAAGTAAGATCTCCCTAGTTACAAAAACAACATGAGCTTAATATATATGAGGAAGATATTAAGACAGCATCATACAACGCTTAAGGGGTGTAACACGCAACTAACTCAACTTGTTACATGTTTTATTAGCTAACATGTTACCTAAATGTAATATGTGAATCGTTGAAGGTACTTTTGGTAGTATTTTCACTGCAAACGTGGGAATCTCCATCCTCATTCAATACTGCATTGCTTGGACTCTGTTGATCTGCTTCCTCGGCAACACCATTATCTGGATGCCCATTTCTAAATCTAGGGCGTTCAGGAGCCAAGCTGCTATTAGGCTTCACTAGGAAACTTGCAATGAAAGCTTTTACAGGGCAGAAAAGAGTGGCAGCGGTAATATTTGCCGAATCTTTGATTTTAACTATCCGTAGGATGCAGCAAAGCAAATAGAGAGAAGTTATAGGATCAACTGAAATATCCTGAAAGAACAACAAAACCAATATTAGTAATGATACCCTCCAAAATAGTCACAAGTAACAAGGCTAACATAATAGCACAAAAAGAAATTAAGAGGAAGAATGTGATATTTAGTACATTTACAGTCTCAGAGCATAGAGCCGGTAGAAGAAGTGGGAGAGTTAGATGCTGCAGAATGTGATCTGTTACCAGCCTCCCGATATCAGGTATGCCAGCAGAGATAACATCACTAAAATAGTACAAGGTGTCCTCAATCCCATCAACGGCAGAAAACAATTTTCCTCCTGAGTCTGGGGATGGGCTCCTTTAGCAAGGAATAAAATGAGAAGAAGAATAATTATCAAGGATCAAACACAGACTAAACAAGAAGATAGATGAAATGGGGTCGTGATAAGTAACGACCAATTTTACAAGTTATTCCCCTGGGAAATGAAAATACGCTGAAACTTACTCTAAAGTGTTTAACACCATTGCACTTAGATCCAGGCATTGCTTCTGGAAAAATGAAACTAATTTTGAAAAGTACTCGGTGTGCGGTGGACTAACTACATAATCATTCACAGATTCATCGCCAACTGCAATAACAAACTAGAGCTATCAGAAACAATGGTTAAAGCTATGTGTATATTTACCATCCAAGTGACAAATTGAAAGAACTATTATAAATAATTTACCGTGATATACATTAAGAGTCAGGGAACGAACTGCAGTGCGTATCATGTTCTCTTCATGAAATGCAAATTTAATGCCTTCGACATAAAGGGGAAAAGAAACTACTACATCCTAGACGCAGAAACGCAGAATTAAAATATAGCAGAAAAAAAAATCTGCAAAGAAGTTACAACAGTAAAAAGAACATGCAACTTAAAGAATACTCACGTTCTCGGTCTTCAAAAGCAATGATATTGTATGCTTGTTTAGTTTCCCACTAACAGCTCTGCATAAAGAAAACAGTTATCAGTACAGTCGATAAGTACATCCTAAAGCCGACACAACAGCAGAAAAACTGTACCTTAGGAAGGATATGTAGTAAGATAGAAGCTCTTCATGTTGGAAGTCAAACGTATATGTTATCAAATAGTTTACATATTCGTTACTGAACAAGTAGTCTGCAAGGAGTTTCAAAAGAAGATCATCAACAGACTATCATCATGATGTGAAATCCTCAAAGACAAATATTATAGCATCTGATAAACTCACAGATGGCTTGTTCACTTTTGAGGTTTTGGATCATAATACTCATGGTTTGCAACAACTGGACAGAAACTGTTACTGTTTTGCTAACCCTCAAGATACGTACAAACTCTCCCATGACTTGCTTCTCCATAAAAAACCTGCAAAAATTCACGCGAAATATTTGCAAATGGCAGTAGGATACTGAGGTCGTTGACTGATAACTGACAGAAAAAAAAACTCACTCGAAGAATGAGGAATCATGCTGATCGCCATAGGTTAATATCTCCGCGATTGATCTCAGTGCCTCGACAACAATGTCCTTCAAAATGGTAAACGAAGATCAGATACTAACAAAAACAAAACAATAAGGAAAAGTAAAAGTATCTTATGCCACTGACCTTATTGGTCTCGTTCACTATCTGAATTTTCCTTAACTGGTCAGTCAGATGCCTACACAACAACAAAAGTTTTCAACACTTCTGCTTCATCTTCTGGTAGAATCAAGAGACAAATACTGTTGTACACAATGATCTCAATGAAATTTAGAAAACAAGTCATTGTCCTATCTATAGTGAAAGTAGACCCTTTGACCTGTTAACAAAGTTCAAAAACTTGTGCATTATCATCTGATGGAATCAACTAACAAATACTGACATACACTAAGATCTCAGTTAAACGTTGAAAACAAGAACCTTTGACCCTTGATTGAAACAGGGGAAGATGAAGTTAAATACTCAAAGGCACCATTGAAGCCATCAACAACTCAATTTCCCGGAAACCCTAACAAACCAATTCTAATTCCAGAGAGATAAAACTCTCTAAACCACCGCTAAAAAAGGACCTAATCTTTACAAAAGAAATTCACAAAATCACTCACACACCATTGGTGATCTTAGTCAGAATTGGAGTTAGACGAAAGAGAGATACATCGCAAATGAAACTTGTTGGGAGATCAATAAAAAAAAAAAGAGAAGTTAAAACCTGAGTTCGACCAAGGAGAATCGATCTCTGGGTCTTAAGAAGGAGAGCCACATGATCAATTCTTTGAATCCACTCTCCTCTGGATCATTCTTCGCTCCCGACAAAACTACTGATGAAATCCGATTTCAGTTCCTGTTCGGCTTCGAATTGTCGTGGTCGTATTCGAATTCGTGAAACGCTTTTTAGATGTTTCCGGTAAACAAATAGAAGTGTTGACGGAATTGCGAATAGAAGCACCGACGTGGGCGCTGAGCTGGCGTTGGGTCAGATACCCATGTTCGGTGGACCCGGACCCGGTTCAATACATGAAACTGAAAGTAATTCTTATAAGCACACTGATGATAAGTTGACAACTTGTACGTTTAAGATAA